ACAAGACTCAAGGTCTCAAGACGCAGATCAACTGCGGTTGACCCTATACTGAGTTGCTGAGGGTACGTGAAAGTGAGTGAGGCTATCTTTAATATATGCCTCGGCTATTAGGCCCCTTCTTCTTTACTCCACTCCCTCGCTTTCGAGGTATACTCGACCCTGGACCAAGTGCTGTGCATGAAAAAAAACCATTATCAACTTCGCACAAAGGGCATCAGTTTCTCATAGCGTATTGTCGCTAAATCTGTCTGCTTCGTTATTTCGATCGCTCTGAGCTCATGTTCACTTTAAGTAGCGATTGGCGAGGAGCAGTTTATTTCAAACCTGAGCCCGCTTGTTGGTCGACTTACTATATTTAGTTCTGAGAGTATATTTCAACATATGGCTCTCTTGCGGTAAACCGCTAGACATTATCATAAATACTAGCAGTATCTCTTTCTTCTCAGACTCGGTTTATCTTCCTGCGCTAATCATGGAGTGTTATTTTGCTTTGTGGGCTCTACTGTCACCTTGTTGCGACACATAATAGTGCTGCCAGGACTTTCCTTACGTGGATTTTGCCCAACCAGCACGATGTCGGAGGATGAAAATTGACTGTATTACTCCACCTCGGTGTCTCTCTGTCAACTAACACTAAAGTAGGTTTTTCGTAAGCTAGATAAATCTCATCATCATAAGACGCTCACTTTTTCACACTGCTGGCATACCAGAGACCGGCAGAACTGCATTCTAAGGTGCTGCACCACGCAATCCTTGGTTGTTTCTTCCCATCTCTGATTGGATTCCCCCGAATATAACCCTACGCTCGTGCACGCTCAGTTTGCTTGCACGCTTAGAACATCCCGCTCCCAACCACACCCTATTAATATGCTAGGCGATGTGCAGTCTGTGGTGTGACGTAATAGTCTGGACCGCCTGGGGTAGTGCGCTCCGCGCGTGTAGGGCAATCTCGTGCCAGTGGAGCCACTCCGAGCCACAAGTGCAACAACCATGCAAGGTCGCTCGTTCCAGATAGGCGATGTGCCTGAGCTAGTTTTGCCTGAGACAGACATAACAAAAGATCGGCGATTGATCATCGTACATGCATATAGGTATATAGTTAACTCTCAGCTAACAGTGCTTGCATTGCTATCCGGATTACTCTCGACATCGTTAGTTGCAACTACCTCTACCTGCCGGATTACTTACTGTCCGCGCTGAGTTACATCTACAGATCTGGCTATTGCTTCTCGCTACGTGCCCGACACGCATCAGACACAATACAAACTCAGCATCATTTCACACATCACTCTCTCACTTAAACGTTTAAATATATGTACGTGGTTAGCCAAATACAGACATAACTACGACTACAGTGCTAACGTCTTCGCCGCACATTCTTATTTTGTTGAATGGGCGCGCTTCGTAGTAATAAATCTATATTATATCGTGCATGTTTGGCCCTCCGATATAATCCATAGAGACAAAAATTTGAATATCCTATCGTGGTGCTACCAAATTAGACTTCTTTTTCCGCTGGGTTCGACGCCTGTGGCATGCGTGTCGTGATATCGTAGTGGTGTGATGATAAGAGTCAGTTGTGTGATAGTAGTGTGTGAGAAACAGGAACACGTCGCCGTCGGGGCTCAGGGACAATCAGGCGACGTCCCAGCTTGGGTTTCGTGGCGGGAGGAAGAAGCAGAGACTGGAAGCCGTGATAGAGTCGTATGACGACTACGAAGGGTGGTGGTGTGCTCTCGTGAGGGTAGGGTGTCCGTGGTCGGTGTGCGCGTGGGCTGTTGAGTCGGTTGTGGGATACTGTCTGCTTGCTGCTGTGTGGTGGCTGAGGTCCTTGGGGCTAGTCCTCCCTGTTGGAAGGACAGTGCTGTTTGCTTTATCCTGACTATGTGTCCTGGGTGGCGGGGCTGGCGTCTGTGTTGCCCCTGTCGAGTCCCACGCTCCCGTGTTGCAGCCTCTTGAGTGATATTTTTAATAATGTGGTATCGAATTTGCGGGCGGGCGCAATGCGGACTGTGTTGACGTGTCCTCGCGCGGTGGTTGGCGTGTTGTGACCATCTGGTCGACACTCGGGGACCGTAGGAAAGCACTCGTGCTTGGCCATTCCTTAAATAGCCTCAAGGAGGCTTTTATCAACGGACGATGTTCTCGTCGCCGTGTCGAGTGTTTACAACCTCGTCAGTTCTGACAAGTTTCTCAGGCATTGGTGTCATAGGACGGCCCGTGCGTGTGCCGTGCGTGTGCGTGCCGGGCTGCAGGCTCGGTCGCGTTTGTTAGCGTGTCGGCCCGTTCGCGCTGTTTCGGCCCGTGTTCTCCCTTTCTGATATTTTAAGGAAATTGAAATCCGCCAAGTTAGACCAAAAAAAGGAGTTTACTACTTTTGATAAGGTTGACAGTGCACATCAAAAGCCTGTCAGATGTTGCGGTGCGTTGGGTGCAGTAGTGACTAGCTCTAGGCTGCCTTGCGACAGTTCGTAAATGTCACGCGCTCTCGAGTAGTTCCCCGCGCTCGTGCTAGGTGCGTGTGTGATAGTCTGTGTCTGCTCGATGTTGTGGTAGTGGGGGGGGGTTAAGAAAGGATGCCGTTCTGCGTGGTCGTGCAGGGATACGTCACCACTGAGATGACCTACAACCGTGCAATCCCGAGACATACAGCACTCGTCTAGGCTGGTCAGACCAGTCTGCTCGACGTATATGCGAACTCTCGCGCCCATATGAGCTCTTAGCGAGCATCGCCGGCTTAGCAGAGTACTACACGGGCGTCTCTGACGGCGTTTTCTATCTCAGCATTAATTGTTGTGACCTACGTCACGTGCGCAGTAGCGCGCTCGTTTCCGACGATTTATCGAGTGTGGTGTTCAGACCCGATAAACCCGTGCACTATCTTCTCGAGAGCACACGCGAGTCGACAAGTTAGATAGGGTCGAAGGTGTCAATTATTGAAGATGCTTCCGACGCCGGTGTCAGAGCAAACAGGCCATCTAGGCTGGGGGTAAACACACGCCGGGTTTCTACAAGCTTGGCACTTCCATTTAATGAACGAATTACGAATAGGAACGCAGGAATTGCGTGAATAAGACAGGTGGACATAGGACCTCTGGCCTTGGGCCCTCATCTACTCTGCGTGTCTCCGAACCCTCTTGTATGTGAAGTACATAACATACAATGACAAACGACCTCACTCTGACCCACACAGCGGAGTGTGCGTATATTTCTTGACTCCTGAATACTATATGAGTGTAGAGAGGTGTTCTCACATGTCTAAATCACTAAACTATGTGAGTACTGTTCTGGTTTAACTTACAATACTTAAATAATATTATAATATAAAAGCTCAACCATCTACAACGTCTCAGGTATGCGCGTAATCCTTAACTCAAGTTTACCCAGGCTGAATGAGGTTTCTTCCCCGTCTCCGTCTTGCTGCGCCCTGTGAAACGCCCAGCCCTATGCCGGATTCTCCGCCCGCCTCACCCTCGTCCAATACGCCTAGTTTTGCGCGCCTCTCGTCTCCCGTTCTCTTCGCTTATATTCCCAAACCTATCCATTCTTCTGACCCTCTTCTATTAACATTCTCTTTCGCAATCCCCCTTCCTTCCCCGCTGCCCTCCCGCCCCACCCCGCCCCACCGCCCAACCCTTGAGGCTCAGCGCGAGCATTAATTCGCCCATCATTCCCCGTCGTTCTTGTGATGGTCCTGACGCCCCCAGGAGGCTACATTCTTCGCCGTCACTTTAAGAGATTAAACTTCTCGAGAAATCTTGTGGATGCAAGATGGGGAAGGCGGAGGGAGGCGGAGAGAGGGGGGCGGGGAAGGGCGAAGGGAGGCAGAGAGTGGGGTTGGGAAGGGAGGCGGGAGGCGGAGAGGGGAGGGCGGGGGAGGGCTGGAGAGATGGATAAAGGGGTCTGAGTGAAACATTCAAAGGCTCCCAGTTGCGCCTCTTTCAGTAAGTACTTGTCATACGATCCTATTATTCGAAAATATACTTATACACTCGTTTACACAACATTCAGCTCTGCGCCATCCTAACAATCGCTCATATTTACCCTTCAGACTACCTGGCACGTCCTAAGTTCGCACATTTGCAAAAGTGTCAAATCCCTGTTGTGCTAGTTCCCTCTTTTTCCTCTTACAAAATACTAAGCGCTGCATTTCAGAAAAGCTAATTTTCTTTTCCAGAGGTTACACTTAGAATATATCACACCCGGCTGCTATGCTGAACCAGTGTTCATTTCTAGAAAGATTATTCCAAATTCCTTTTTGTCCTAGGCGCTGTCTTTTCGCGTCCTTTCTGTTTCCCTATTTTCCCCGACAGGGACTTCATGGCTCTACCCCTCCCCCCTTGTTCTAAAAATGTCCTAGTTTGAATACAAATGCTCGCCTTCTAAAATTTCCGTCATTGGCTTTCACCAAAATACTGATAATGGAGTGCATTTTCCAGTTAATTACATCGAATTAATTGCTAGAAGTACATTAATATTGCGCTGAATTAATGTGCAAATATCATCGCGGAAGAAAACATCGAGCGAGCTGGTTCAACCCCATTTATCAACCCACCCTGCCAGCCGGCCCCACCCAACCCCTAACCCCCACAACCCAGCACCAGCCTGTCCATTCCAGTGCTTGCCTCACTTCCAGCACCCTGCTTACCACTTCGGCTCCTATTCACTGAGCCACCGCGACAACAAAAGCTTAATCCTACGCAGCCCGTCTATTGTGGGATTCTGCAACGCCCTTCGATGTTTACCGATCGGTCACCCACCGCGATTCAATAAAATGCGTCCCTTCCTTTCCTGTTCCCTCACTCCTTACACATGCATTCACGAGCAACAATTCTCGCCTACATGTGCTTCTCGTTCACGTCAGGTAAACAGAAACAAAGAAAGGAAGATAAGAATAAAAATCTGAAGTATACATTGTCCCCTAAACCAAAGAGAATGGCGGCCATAAAGGTCTCGACTACGACCGAACTCGGGTGCGTCGTGGCGATGGTCGTACTCACGTTGTATCTCCCGGGGACGTAGATGGGCTGGTCGTCGTACGGCCTGTGTTCGGGCGACGACGAGTGCGACGACGTCTGGGAGGAGCTGTGTTGTCTGGCCTGCGATGACGACGACCCTGCGCCGTCAGCCTGGTCATCGTCGTCGTGCTGCTGCTGCTGGTGCTGGAGAGGCTCGAGCTGCAGGGAGCGCGCGGGCGAGGGCGGCTGCGGCTGGGCGCCCGATGGGTCATCCTCCGTGACTTGCGGCGTCTTGATGCGGTTCACCAGCTGGTTCCAGGCCTCCATCCGCAGGTTGTCGAGGTGGTCGAACACGTCCTGGTAGTGCGTGCTGAACTCGTCCGCGTAGCGCGATGCGAGGCCCTCCAGCACGCCCCGCACGCCCTCCTGAAACAGGGTATGAAGGTCACTCTCACACGAAACGCGTATTGCCTAAACCTACTCATAACGCATGAAGAGAAGGCCACGAAACAAAGCCCTCTTCCAGAGAAGGCAGATCAGAAAATATATGTAATTAAATCAGAAATTATGTTTAAGCAAATGTAATCTAAACGAAATTAGTGTTACTTAAACACAGCAAAGGGAAAGTCACAAGTAATTAGTTTAACTGAAACAACTATTCTGCATAAGTTAAGTTTGAGTTTACAAGTTGTAAAGAAAAGAGCATCTCAAAATTCACATTATTTTTTAATCTTCAGCCTACGGAGTATTTGTATATCATTTTCAGCGCCATTGTAGGCACAGCAGTTTGTTCATTATCTTCCACCTTCATCACGCGCCTACGCTGATGCAAAATTCTTTAGAATCCTTGAACGGGGCTATTTAACATAGTTTACAACAAAAGATATAAAATTACAAAACGTGTATGAGACATGAAGAATCTGTCAGTCTCCCTCTGTGTCTGTGTCTGGCGACACCTGTCAGTCTATTTGGCTGTCTGTCTACCTATGCCTATCGGTGGTGAGGAAGTGGGAGACCGAGGGGGGAGGAATAGGGAGAGGAGGAGGGGAATGGGAGGAGGGAGGGGAGGGGAAGCGAGGGGGAGGGAGAGGGAGAGGAAAGGGAAAGGAAAAGTGAGAGGAAGAAGGAGGAGGAGGAGAGGGAGATGGAGAGGGCAGGCGGGTGAGAGGGAAAAGGAAAAGTACATGACGGGGTGTAGGTAGAGGAAACAAGAAAGGAAGAGAGGGAAACAGATGCAGAGGAAAAGAACAGAGACGAGTAAAGTAGAGAAGAGAGAGAGAGAGAGAGAGAGAGAGGAGAGAGAGAGAGAGAGAGAGAGAGAGAGAGAGAGAGAGGGGGGAGAGGGGGGGGAGGGGGGAGAGGGGGGAGAGAGAGAGAGAGAGAGAGGAGAGAGAGAGAGAGAGGAGAGAGAGAGGGAGAGAGGAGGGAGAGAGAGACGAGAGAGAGAGAGAGAGAGAGGAGAGAGAGAGAGAGAGAGAGAGAGAGAGAGAGAGGAGAGAGAGAGAGAGAGAGAGAGAGAGAGAGAGAGGAGAGAGAGAGAGAGAGGAAGAGAAGAGAGAAGAGAGAGAAGAGAGAGGAGAGAGAGAGAGAGAGAGAGAGAAGAGAGAAGGAGAGGAGAGAGAGAGAGGAGAGAGAGAGAGAGAGAGAGAGAAGAGAGAGAGAGAGAGAGAGAGAGAGAGATGAGCCGGGGAGGGAGAGAGAGAGGAGGGAGGGAGGGAGGGAGAGAGGGGGAGAGAGAGGAGAGAGGAGAGAAAGAGAGAGAGAGAGAAGAGAGAGAGAGAAGAGAGAGAGAGAGAGAGAGAGAGAGAGAGAGAGAGAGAGAGAGCGAGAGAGAGAGAAGAGAGAGAGAGAGAGAGAGAAGAGAGAGAGGGAGGGAAGAGGGGAAAGGAGAGAAGGAGAAGAGGAGGGAAACAGAGAGAAGAGAGAGAAGAGGGAAAAAAACGAGAGAGCAGAAGAGACGAGAGAGATCGAGCGCGATGAAAGAGAGATCAGAGAAGACCGAGAGAGATGAGAGAGAGGGAGAAGAGCAGGGAGGGGGCAGGAGGGAAAGATGAGAAGAGAGAGATGGGAGGGAAAGGAACATTCCTAATGAAGAGAGAGAGATATATCTTTTCGAGGCGTGCGAAGAGGAGAGAGAAGAGAGGAGTGACAGACAGACAGCAGCACAGATGACTAAGAGGCGTGTCGAAGTATTTAGTATAAAAGACATAAATATGTACACGTTGCACGGCAAACGAGCGCACAAATACACCTTCGCTCTCTCTGGAAAGAGAACGATTAAAGCTAAAGAAAATTTTCTTGGCTGGCACCTTCGACAAATGCCCTTTCACAAGAAAGCGACAGCTCTCCACCCTCACCCCAAACCCCTACCCACCACACCCGACCTACCTCACATCTTCGGGCCGCGCCTCTGCTCTTTTTGCTTTATAGACCGCCCTTAGTACGTAATCCCTTTTTTGAGGAGGGAGATGGGGATGTGGGGAATCGGTGGGATTGGAGAGAGGGTATGTCTAGAGGAGAATCGAGAAGAGAGAGAAGAGAGAAGAGGAGAGAGAGGAGAGAAGAAAAGAAAAGAGAAAAAGAAGAAAGAAGAAGAGAGCAGAGAAGAGAGGAGAGGAGAGATGGAGGAGAGAGGAGAGGAGAGGAGAGATGAGAGAGAGAGAGAGAAATTGAAAGAGAAAACTGACCGAGAGAGAGAAAATCGAAAGAGAGAAAACTGACCGAGAGAGAGATGAAAAAAGAGAAAAGATTGAGAGAGCAAAGGAGCCAAGAGCAACTGAGAGCGCCAAAACACGCTACCTCGAAGCCGCGGTGAGTTGTAAGTCAGCCTCAACCGAAAAAAAAAAGAAAAAAGGAAAAAAAAACATGATCAATATTCCATCGCAAGTTTAAACCTGCTTACACAACAATAATACGTCGAAGATGGTGCGATCCATACTCCAGGCAGATGGAAAAATGTGGCCATGGGTCACAACAGAAGAAAATACTGCCATGGGACACAACGAAGAGATAATCGTGCCATGGTACAACAAAGAAATACATGGCATGGTAAACAACAGAAAGAAATCATGGACATGGGTAACAACAGAAGAAATACGTGGCCATGGTCAAACAGGAAAAGAAATACATGGACATGGGTAACAACAGAAGAAATACGTGCCATGGTCAACAGAAAAAATACTGGCCAGTGGGTAAGCACAAGGAAATGGTCGTGCATCGGGTGACAACAGAAGAAATACGTGGCCATGGGTGACAACAGAAGAACGTGGCTATACAAAAAATACTATGGTAACTAGCAGAATAAATACGTGTCATGGACCAACAGAAGAAATACCGTGCTATGGGTCATCAACAGAAAAATACATTGGCATGGGTAGATAACTAGAAGAAATACGTGGCCATGGTGACAATCAGAAGAATACACTGGCTTTATGTAACAACATAAGAAAACGTGGTCGATGGGTGACAACCGGAAGAAATAGTGGCTCGGGTCAACAAGAAATGCGTGGGTCATAGGTGACACAGGAGAAATTACTGCATATGGGAAAAGCAACAAATAATAGTGTCATGGGCCAAATGAGAAATACGTGGCATAGGTAACAACAAAGATAATCTGGATGGTGACAAAGAGAAATACGTGGCCATGGGTAACAACAGAAGAAATACGTGGCCATGGGTCACAACAGAAGAAAATCGTGCATGGGTGACAACAACAGGGAAAACGGGGCCCATGGGTGACAACAGGAGAGAATTACATCGCGCCAATGGGTCACAAACCAAGGAGAAATACGTGGCATGGGTCACACAGGAGAAACTACGTACGGCCATGCGGTGACAACAGGAGAAATACTATGGCCAATGGGTTGACAACAGCAGATAAATAAAACGTGGCCTGAGGTCAAAAACCAGGAGAATATTACGTGGTCATGGGTCACAACAGGAGAAATACGTGGCCATGGCGTCACAACAGGAGAAATACGTGGCCATGGGTCACAAACCAGAAGAAATACGTGGCCATGGGTCACAACAGTGAGAAATACGTGCATGGGTCACAACAGAAGAAATACGTGGTCATGGGTCACAACAGGAGAAATACGTGGCCATGGGTGACAAACAGGAGAAATATACGTGGCCATGGGTCACAACAGAAAATTACTTGAACAACAGGAGAAAATGGGTCACAACAGAAGAAAACAGTGGCCATGTATGACAACAGGAGAGAGCCAGAGAAAGGGTTGCGTGGCGGGCCGAAGAAGTCACGCCCCACGCGACCGTTTCCTCGAGCGCTGAATGAGAGATCGGCGAACTGGAAACGGAAACCTGATTGTTAACAAGGCAATCGGAGGAGCCAAGGCGGGATCGGACGCTAATTAAAACATGGAGTGGTCGCCTCGTTGAAAAAACCCAATGGATGGTCGGACACTCATTCAGTCAGGCAGTCTCTTTGTCTTACCTCCCCCTGTTCCTCCCTCACTCTCTATATATATGTTCCTCTGTTTCTCTCATTCTATATTCTCAATTTCTCTCATTCTTATATCTCAATTTCTCTCATTTCTACTAATCTCTCTCTCTCTCCTCTCTCTCTCTCTCTCTCTCTTCTCTCTTCTCTCTCTCTCTCTCTTCTCTTCTCTCTCTCTCTCTCTCTCTCTCTCTCTCTCTCTCTACGGACACCACACACACACACACCACACACACACACACACACACACACACACACACCACACACACACACACACACACACACACACACACACACACACAACACAATCATATATACATACATACTAAATCCTCTCCTCTCCTCTCCCTCCACCTCTCTTCCTATTTTCTTTTCTACTATCCTCTCCTCTCCCTCACTTTCTCTCCTCTCCTCTCCGTCACTTTCTCTCCTCTCCTCTCCTCACTTTCTCTCCTCTCTCTTCCCTCACTTTCTCTCCTCTCCTCTCCCTCACTTCCTCTCCTCTCCTCTCCTCTCCCTCACTTCCTCTCCTCTCCTCTCCTTCTCCTCTCCCTCCTCCTCTCCTCTCTCTCTCACTCCCTCCTCTCCCTCTCTCCTCTCTCACTTCCTCTCCTCTCTCCCCCACTTCCTCTCCTCTTCCTCTCCTCACTTCCTCTCCTCTCCTCTCCCTCACTTTCCTCTCCTCTCCTCACCTCCTCTCCTCTCCCTTCACTTCTCTCCTCTCCCTCACTTCTCTCCTCTCCTTCCTCTCCTCACTTCTCTCCTCTCCTCTCTTCTCTCTTCTTCCTCCTCTCCTCACCTCACTCATCTCTCCCTCCTCCCCTCCCCACTCCTCTCTCCTATCCCTTTTTCTTTCTTTTCTGTTCTTTTCGCCTCTCCTCTTATCTCATTTCATCTCATCTCATCTCTCCTATCCTCTTCTATTTTCTTCTATTTTCTTCTCTTCTCTCCTAACCCCCCCCTCCTTTGCACTGCATCTCGCTCTCTCATTGCAGAGGAAGAGGCCCGCACCAACAGGCCTACGTAGCCCCCGGCATTGTTCTGCGGGAAGCAAGAAATCTTTTGACGTCATCCTCCGGCCACGCTCGACCAGCTGCGCCGACGGGTTTCGCCCCACAGAGGAAGCCTCTTGTGCCGGCTCATGACAAACAAGAACCCCGAGCGGAAAATATATATTTGAAAGCGAATCAGTTCCCGGCGACCAAGCCCTTTGTGGTCGATTATCACATCAGTGGCGCCGCTCCTCCACTCGCCCTTCCCGCCCCCTCTTTTCTAGCCTTCATTCTGTTTTTTTCTTCTTCTTCCTTTTCCCCTTTCTCCCGTTCTCTTCTTTCTCCTCCTCGACCTATCGT